GGTATCTTAGCGATGGTTTCTTGCCTTGTTTTGGGGCTTGTTGTGCAGAGAAACAAATTAAAGTGAGTGGCATTCATCTTTTAAAGTAAAACTCTCTGCCACTGTTGATTTTTTATCGTGCACATTTGTATAGTGTCTATCGACTCTATGATACACTTGGTTGATTCAAAGGAAAAATAATATTATTTTGATATCTTGGATATAAACGAAAGTATGGTTCTGCGAATTTAAGTAAACATGATTTTTTTTTCCAATATTTATTTTCCTGCTTAATATTCTGTCTAAATACAGAAGTACTGTTTGAAGTTCGTGCTTAATATTCTGTCTAAATACAGAAGTACTGTTTGAAGTTCGTGCTTAATATTCTGTCTAAATACAGAAATACTGTTTGAAGTTCGTGCTTAATATTCTGTCTAAATACAGAAGTATTGTTTGAAGTTCGTGGTTAATATTCTGTCTAAATACAGAAGTACTGTTTGAAGGTCGAGCTTAATATTCTGTCTAAATACAGAAGTACTGTTTGAAGTTCATAGATGTATATAAAAAAATAGAAAAAAACATTGACAAGTCTGTGAGGAAATCTCAGTGTTGTCTAAATACAGAAGTACTGTTTGAAGTTTGTGCTTAATATTCTGTCTAAATACAGAAGTACTGTTTAAAGTTTGTGCTTAATATTCTGTCTAAATACAGAAGTACTGTTTGAAGTTCGTGCTTAATATTCTGTCTAAATACAGAAATACTGTTTGAAGGAATATTAACCACGAACTTCAAACAATACTTTTGTATTTAGACAGAATATTAAGCACGAACTTCAAACAGTACTTCTGTATTTAGACAGAATATTAAGCACAAACTTCAAACAGTACTTCTGTATTTAGACACAATATTAAGCACAAACTTCAAACAGTACTTCTGTATTTAGACAGAATACTAAGCAAAAATATTTTTTGTGTAAGCTTGTGTTTAACGTGAATTATATTACAAAATCATAGTAACAGGGAAAGTGAAAAAAAACCACGTCAACTCGACCAAACCATATTATTAATGTTAATTTGCTGGAGTGGGTGTACTGTCATTAACACAGTAGTCCTACGTGCTTGAAAGAAAGTCTATTATTAAGGAATTAATGGACCAAGAGTGAACTGTACAGAAAATCAATGCTTAATTATAAATGCATATGAAAAATGGCAGTAAGGGGGTTTATTGTACCTAATACCCACACTCTTAAAGCACTTAGAAGACTGACCTAAGTGACTATACATAGAAATTGTTTGGCCAAGGCTTGTGGTTTAGGAACTTTTAATGTATGAAAATTAACTAATAGGTTCAACAATCGCCAATGTTTTTTTATTATCTTTATTTAAAGAAGGATGACGTCTCGAGTTAGCGCTGTTCGTCAGATCGTGCAGTTTATAACAAAGGCGCCTTTGGCGGGTAAACGAGTGTCTTGTAAATGGAGGAGACACTTGCGAACATACATACATATCCATGCAAAAAGTACAAGTTCGTGAAGGGAGTTAAGTGTATCAGTTTTGTCACATTCTGTTTTATTGGTTGATTTACTGGAGGTCGGTTTACTCCTTATGTTTTGCACTCGTTCAAGCTAGCTGCACCCTCCTTTGTAGCTTTTCGATTCTGTGCTCCCTGGAGTCTGAATATACTGCAGCTGAACCTATACA